CCCCCAGACTCCGCACCAGCACCCCCAGACTCCGCACGACCAGTACCAGCCCCCGGAAGACAAGAGTCCTCTGCAACCCGCGGCTCAGCTCCAACTCCAGCACCCCCAGAACCAGAGACCTGTACAGGGACAGTCGCAGGACCAACCTCCCGAGAGGGAGCACCTGCAGGAGGCGGCGAGGAAGACTGTGGGGAGGGAGGCTGTACAGGGGGGGCTACCGAAGGGGGAGGGCTAGCCTGAGACACACCAGACGGGGCTGGACCAGGGGGGGGAGGCTGTACCGGGGGAGCAGGCGGGGGAGCGGCTGTCAGGAAGAGGGGGGGAGGAGGAACCAGGAGACCTCGACTGGGGTACCTGACGTAGTACGGGGTGGACTCCTCGAAACGGACGTCACGGGAGTCAAAGAACCGGTGAGAGGGAGGGTGGTAAAAGGTGAAGTCAGAGGAGTCCTCAGGGAAACCAAGGAAGACACAAGGAACGGCGCGAGGCGAGAGCTTGTCCGCGGAGGTGTCGCGGACAAGAGCCAAGCACCCCCAGACACGAAACCTCGACGCGACACCAGGGGACCCTGTCCAAAGACTGGTCGGTGAAGCCTCCGGCCGAGAGACGCGTGGCCAGAGGTTCAGCTGGTGCGCGGCGTACCTGACTGCGTATGGCCACAGGAAATGGGGGGCACGGGCGTGAGTCAAGGAGGTGCGGGCAATCTCCATGACCAGGCCTATGCGACGCTCAGCAACCCCATTCTGCTGTGGGGACTCCGGAAGCGTCCAGGACTGACGAATGCCCTGTTCGCGACAGAATCCAGCGAGAATGCCGGAGCGAAACTCGCCCCCGCGGTCGGAGTGGAGACAGCTGACACGACGACCACGAGTGTCCTGGGTGGTAAGCAACCACCTGATCAGCGTAGAAGTCACCTCAGACTTCCTCGCCAGGGGGAACACTGTGGTATAGCGGGAGTAGTCGTCAACGACCACCAAAAAGAAACGCTCACGCTCAGGGCCAGGGCAAGGAGAGGGGCCCCAGACGTCCAAGTGCAGCGTCTCAAAAGGCTCGGTGGCCGGACGAAGGGAGGAGGAGTGAGGGGTGGCACGCAGCCTACCCTCGACGCAAGGACCGCACGGTGGTGCAAGGGACGGCGGCAGCGACGGCAAGACACGCGGGAGACCTAAGACCAGACGCTGACTAGACATAGCACGCAGACGTGGAAGAGAAGGGTGTCCCATCCGGTGGTGCCACAGAATGGTGGGGTGGGCAAGCGACCGACAGGAGCAAGACGCAGCGACTGGACTGGACGCGACAACCTGAGGGGACGGAACCACCTGGTGAGACGCAGGGAGGAGACTAGGGGGAGGGACAGGAACTGGGAGGAGTGGCTGCTGCGACGGCGGCGGCTGTGGCTGCGGCTGCTGCTGCTGCCGCTGCTGAGGCTGCTGCTGCTGCTGCTGCAGTCGCTGCTGAGCGCGCGGGCCAGTGTGAAGAGTGTAGAGACCGGAGCCCGGCTCAGCAGCAAAAGTGGCGAGAGGCTGGTAAGAGTCCCCGTCAACACACACCGCAGTCTCTCCAGAAGGCTCAAACCACACACCCACGTGCTGACTCACAAGGGGTCGCACGCCCACCAAGTTCCGGGAGAACGAGGGGACGTGAAACCCAGTGAGAGACCCAGAAGGAGCAGCCGGACACGGCAAGGTGGTAGTGTGACGCGCGGTGACTGGTCCCGAAGTGGGATCAGCCAGCGCCACAGAAACAGGCGCAGGAAGAGGCGTAAGTGTCGTGCTGTCACGAAAGAAGCAGTGAGAGGCTCCAGAGTCCAGCGTGAACGACAGCGAACCGTCCTCTGAGGTAGCCGCTGGACTAGAGTCTACACAAGAACCTACACTAGCAACAGGCAACTGAGCAAGGCTAGCACCTAAGCTAACAACACCAGAGTAAGCAGAGTCAGAAACACTAGAGTCAACAACAGCATACATAGCATGAGGAGCACCAATCAGATCAACTAACTGCTCAGCAGACATGCCCCACAGAGCGGAGCCGTAGCGCTGAACCAGAGGAAGCCAGTCAAGGGCAGGACCGCCAACCCCGTAGGCCAACCGGACCGTGTCAGTGAGCTGAGCAAAGCACTGACCAGGGGGGTGAAAGCGGCCACAAGGGTGGCCCCGACGAGGACCTGTCAGAACCTGATAGGTGCAGGGAGGGTAAGCAGCACCACGCTGGGGCTGACGCAGCCCCGACCCCGGAGCCAGCTGCTGACGCTGCTGCTGCTGAGGCTGCTGGGAGGAGAGGGGCTGCTGCTGCTGCTGAAGCCGCTGCTGACGCTGAGCCTGGTACCACGCCGCTGCTCCACCTAGCGGGGCCGGCAGTACAGGAGACGACTGACGAGCTCGGGTGTCGCCACCACCAGCAGGCGCAGTGGAGTCACCAGCCGCTGCACGAGAGGTCTCTCCAGACGCTGCACTCCCACCACCGCCAGTCGCAACAGCACCCCCACTACCTCCGCTACCTCCGCCTCCACCTCCACCAGAACCACCTTTCTTGCCCCCCTTGCCGCGGGACCGCGACGCAGTCGTAACAGCAGCTGCAGTCGCGTCAGTAGCGGCAGTGGCAAGAGAGGCAGTGAAGGTGGGTAACTGCGGGACTGTGCACCCGTGGAAGAGTGGGGGGGGCACAGCACCAGAGGCGGCAGCTACCGAGCGAAGGTTGCTCTCGACGTCCTTGAGCGCAGACTCAAGGACCTCAACTGTCAGCTCACTAGGGTGCTTCAGCAGGAGCGCGTCACGTACGGAGGCAAGGCGGTCAGGGAGGCTAGTGGCGATGAAATAGATAGTAATCGCCATGGGGGGAGGAAGCAGTGCAAGCTGTGCCTCAGTGCAAGCAGCGCGGTAACTAGCGTCGAGCGAGCGGAGGTGAGCGATCAAGTCAGCAGAGCGCTCAAACGAGGCGAGATCAGGAAACAGGAACGGGAGGAAAAGACGGCCAAGAGAGACAGTAGCGGGAGTAGAGTAGCGGGCCTTAATCGCAGTGAGGTACGCAGCAGCGGTGCGAACCTGAGTGAAGTGGACCTCCTCTGACTCAGGGAGGAGGCTGCTGAGTGCGATGCAGGCCGCAGCGTCACGCGACGTCCAAGCCGTCCTGTCAGCGCGCTGACGGGCAAAGCGAGCCGTAGCAGCATCGTCAGGGGCAGGACCTAAAGCGGGGGGCTCGGGGAGGTCACCAGTAGCGTGCGACCAGAGGGTCTCGCCCCCCTGGACTTGACTCTCTAACAGACGGCGAGCGCGAAGGAGCCAGACGGAAAAGTCAAGAGGTCTGCCGTCAGCGTCGAAACGAAGAACTCGCGGAGTCGCCATAGCGAAAACTAACGCGAACGAGCAGGCGAGTAACAGCAGGAGGTAAGAGGCAAATTAGGGTTCAGGTGGGACTTAGTCGCAGCGGAAGAGCGGGCTAGAGCGACGGGCCAGGGCGTAGGGTCGACGGGACGGGGGAAAGGGCGGGCACGATGCGACGGGGCAGGGCGACGCGACGGGGGAGGGCGACGCGACGGGGTAGGGAGACGGGACGGGGCGGCGGGACGGGGCAGGGCGACGGGACGGGACGGGACGGGGACGGGACGGGGCAGGGGCGACGGGACGGGACGGGGCGACGGGACGGGACGGGGCAGGGCCGCGGGACGGGACGGGACGGGACGGGACGGGGCAGGGCGACGGGACGGGACGGGGACGGGACGGGGCAGGGGCGACGGGACGGGACGGGGCGACGGGACGGGACGGGGCAGGGCGACGGGACGGGGCAGGGGCAACGGGACGGGGCAGGGCGACGTGACGGGGGGAAAGGGCGCGACGCGACGGTACGAAAGGGCGCGACGCGACGGGGGGAAAGAGCGCGACGCGACGGGGGGAAAGGGCGCGACTCGACGGGGGGGAACGGGCGCGACGCAACGGGGGAAAAGGGCGCGACGTGACGGGGGGGAAAGGGCGCTAGGCGACGGGGGGAAGGGCGCTAGGCTCGGCACTAGGCGCGGTAACAACGGAACCGGTACGAACGAGAGGTAGGATCAGGCTCGGGAGATACGAACGGAGAACGGAGGAACGGGATCCCACAGGATCCTAACCTAACTGATACCATGTCAGAATGAGGAATGGATGATGCATTGATGTTGGTTGGGGTACATATAGCTAACCCTAAGTTTTGTACCCCCTAAGACAAACCTCACTATAGGCTACAACATTTGACATTTAGCACCACCCTGAGCCTTGTTTTGCTTGACTGGTTGTGTGACTTCTGTTCCACTTGCTAGTTGTTGGGTGCCCCTCACTTAGCCTATGGGGGTGTGTCAAATGTTATTATTATGATAGGCTGCAGTGAGGTACTCCTTGGAGAGTACAACTTTGTTAGGTTGCTCCTTTGTATCTCCTCCCGATCCCAATCTCGACATTCGGTTGCACATCACTCTGTTTATAAGATAGGACAATTACCGTACTTTCGCTGCATCCATCTCTCATCCTGAGGCTGATCCTGGCAAGGTCCTCCATGGGACCATAACAATAACAATTAACTATCTATACCACAGAAATAAAGCTTCACTGTTGAAGAACCCATTTCACAAGAAAAATCATGCAACCGGCGGCCTGAGCATCTGATCATGGGCGTGGTCGACAGCAGACTGCGGTAACCACTGCCACATGGCCACTGGTGCCATGCCAGGCATGCCATATGGCATCATAGCAGGCAGAGGCGCCATGTACTGTGTACCTGGAGCAGCAGCAGCAGCAACATTCCCACCAGGGCCAGTAGGGCCAGCAGGAGCAGGAGCAGCGGCAGTAGCAGGATGGGCTGGAACAGAGTATGCCATGTGACCTGGACCAGGGTGGTTCCCTGCAAGGGGATAGTTGCCTTGCACAGGTTGAGAGTGAGGGTGGGGGTGAGGGTGAGCATGAACCATCCCCCCGGGAATGAACGGAATGGGCATCAATCCCATGGGTGCACCTAGTGCTGCTGGCTTGCCTGGCTCACATGCTGGATGCAGCATCAAGCGAACAGCACCGGCAGCACCAGAACCAGGAGGAGGGGGAGCAGTAGCTGCTGATGGGGCTGTTGCTGACGTGGCGGCGGTGGATTCGGCAGCACCAGATGCTGCCATGCGCCGGACCTGCTCCTCCAGCTGCTGCTTGTTCGCCTGCAGGCGAGCCTTCTCCTCCCGCAGCTCGCTCTTCTCCGCCTGCTCACAGGGGCAATGCGTGTACAGCACATGCAAGATATTCAGAACAGAAGAAATGGCACAAGACTTCATGGAATGGCCACGCATGCATGCGCGCCATACACTTGGGATGCTTCCCATCTTCCCTTTGCTGCATCACCCATGCTGACGTCAGCCCTAAATAAGAAAAGGACAAAGCCCGTCCGACCCCACTCACAGTAGCAAAAAACACAGAGCAGAACGTCTCATTAGGGCACAACCTTCAATCCCATGCTGCATGGATGCACGCAACTCCACTCCGGCTGATCCGCATATCACTCCTCCTTCTACAGCACACCCACCCACCCTCACACCTCCCTCCACCCTCCATGTCCAATGCCTCCTCCATTCCTCCTACCGCTTTCCCCTTTCCCTCTACGCCCTCCCCCCCCCCAAACTCCCCTTTCCGTCCTCATTTCCCCCCAACCGCACCTTGAGCTCGCGGATCTGCTCCTTCATCTGTTCCGCGGACCCCCGCAGCTGCGCCGTCTCCGAGCGCAGCTGCGCCAGCACGCGCACGGCGTCCGCCAGAATGCTCCCCCGGTCCGCGCGCGCCTGGCCGCTCCCCTCTAGCGACCGCGCCAACTCCACGAACCTGCGGAAGTTCAACGGGGAGGGGTAGGCAATCGTAATAGGAGCGTTGGCGGGAAAGGGTGGAAAAAAGGGGAAGGTCGCAGGCGCGAACAAGAGAGCGGGAGAAGGGGGGGCGGGGGTGCGAAGAACGGGAATGGGGAGAAAAGAGGGAAAGAGAGGGGGGGGGGGGGAGAGAGAGAAGTGCAGGACAAATCATTTGAAGGTGGCCAGAAAACTTTTTTTTTAAGAAAAGGGGAAGGACGTGACGGGGAAGGGATAGATGGAGTATTGAAGGCACCCACCATCAAGCGACGCACCTGTCGTTGAGTCGGTCGCGGCGCATCTTCTCCCGATTGGCCTTGCTGCTGTTCGCCTCGCTTGGGTCCTCCCTTTGCCTGGCGATACACGCGCGGGAACGAAAGCATGGGAGTGCGTAATATAACGGGGAATGTGTAGGGAACGGGGAATGAGTTAGGACGGAGAATGAATCGGGAGACGGGGAACGAAAGCATTGGGAGTGCGTCATGAAACGGGGAATGAGTTAAAATGGGAATGAATCGGAAAAAGGGGGAATGAAAGCATCGGGAAGAATGAACAACGAAATCAGTTGATCCACTCGATAAGCATAAAAAACGGGCAATTGGCCAGTGACGAGGATAAGGGACGAAATAGACGGGAATACATGCTTTTAGGAGCAACACGGGCAAGGCCGACTCACCGTTTATGGGAAGCAGCGACGCCGGTGCGGTGATCGGCGTCCCTGCGACTGCCGTGCGACGGCTCTTTGCAATGCGACGGCTCCTTATCCGCAGCACTGCTCTCATTGGCACGACAAGACGTCCTGCACAGCGGGGAACGAGAGGCACGAGTTGATGAGGAATGCGGGGAGAGGTTACTGAGTGAGGTACGAGTTGGTGAGGAAACACGGGAAATGGCACGGCAAAGACGCAGCGAGGACCTGTAATTCCATTATAGTGTGACTCGTTACACTGCTGCAGGGTGAGATAGAACTCACCTTTCTAGTTCCTGACAGGTGGATTGCTGTTCGCCCAGCAACTTGTCGAGCGCGGTACCATCACCACCGTCAACGTCAAGGTCGACGGAATCCGTCAAGTACCTCATCCACTGGCCGGTAGGACTCGACCCTGACGGCGCAGCCATGACGGCGGGATGTAGTGGAACGGGCTTTTGGCGGAACGGGCTTGTAGCGGAAACGGCTTACGACGACTGAGAAGCTGTATGCGAGAGTCGGGTGCTGGTGGAAAGATGAAGACCGGGATTGCCGGCACGCGGAGGAGGCTCTACGACCGAGGTTACGAAAAGGTTAGAGCGGAGGCGAGAATGGCAGTCAAAGTGGCGAAACTCGCTTGGCTGACGGGCGGGTCGTCAGATGGACGAGGCGTGACTAGGGAGTATCGGGTGATTGGATGAGGGGCGACAGCAGACAGCGGACTACGGATGGTCAACGGATGGTCAACGGGCGGTCAACGGGTGACCAGACAAGAATAGCGCCACTCGAGGGATAGCGAAGTATGGTGCGAACTGAACTAAGCGACGGCGGATAGGTGTCAAAGGCAGTCAGGTTCGAGACTAAGATTAATCGGCTCGGCACGATGAGTAGTGGCAGCGAGCTAGATGCGGGAAGACGAGCAGCAGTGCGCAAGGCGGGGAGGGTACTCTGCTGCATGCCTTGCACGTGCGCCCCGCGCTCGGCTTTCCCGCTCTAATCGCAGATTTAAAATACACCTTCCTACCTACCAGACACGTTAGCCAGTGCCCTGATAGTACCACCGAGTAAAGGTAGGGTAACGGCCCTGACACGAGATCGACGGAGGCATGACGCAATCACAAAGCACAAAGAGCAAGAGAGCACGCCACGTCACGTCTACCAACAAACCAGCAGCAACCCCAAAAGCAGCAACCAGCAAAACGCCACGCCACCGTCAGCGTGGAGGCGCGGCAGCAGCTGCCGCCGCTGGTGCTGCTGGTGGTGGGTTGGTGGTGGGCTTGAGGCATCACTGGTTGCGGTTGCGGGAAAAGCGCGGGGGGAGGGGAAGAGGGGGCAGGTGATTCCCCCTCGCTACGGACCTCCCTCCCCATGCCTTTTCTCCACACGTTTCCTATCTTCAACTGGGGGGAATGCTTGATTGGAAACGAATAGATCTCACAGAACCGTTTTATAAAGCTAATGAACCTCTGTTGACCTTAGCGTCACCTCGCTAAATGTTCTTCCCTAATCAACTTCCCCATCCCATCGCATGACCATGTGGGTGACTTCTCCCACCATTTTGAAAAGTGACAACCAAGATGGTCCCCTGCCAACCAATTCCCGACGCGCCCTGCACTCATCCAGCACACAGAAATGTTCCACAGTTTCGCGCGCTCGTCACGTCACCCAGGTTCCCCCACCAGGACATGTCACGGGGGACCGGATGACAGTTTCGAGGCAGTCGGTTTGTGCTGCGCTGGCAGCCAACAGTGCTTGAGGCGGGATCCCGAGAGGTCCACATGTGATCGGATCTGACAGAATCCAGGGAACTATCGATGTTGGACCGGGTAAAAAGCCTGATAAGTGTAGCCTTTGATGTTGGGGGTGTTTACAATAAATCACTACAACATTTCCTTTTCAACTCACATATATACAACCATTATATATATATATGTGTATATAAATCTATGGTAATCCACCATCATCGGCTGTGCAGGGCTGCAAAACGGCGTTGCAGGTCATCTTCCTCTTCCTCCTGCCACCCTGCCTGTGTGCTGTTGCCAAGGTGGAATGCAGGGAAGAGAAAAGATTATGATAGAAGGAAAAAAATTGTGAGACAAAGGGAAAGGATCGACTTTACCTTTTAAGACATCTTGAAGATTGATTGTATGGAAAAATGGGGGAAGGTGGGAGTGGGTGGGGAAAGGTGGAGGGAGGGGAGAAGGGTCTTTGGGGTTGGTTGAGGTATGCAGAAGGGTGAGAATCTGGGAAAGTTGTCAACAAACTTTCAAGTGCCACATGCCATGCACCCCGTAAAGGAACCAGGTTCCCAACTCACTGAGACGCCTCTGCTTGTGTTGCTGCTGCTGTGGGCAGTCTTCTGGCCGGCACACTCGAGAGCTGCCAACGACCTTTCAAGTGCCACATGCCATGCACCCCTGTCATTCCTTCTGTGAAGAAACCAAATTCCCAACTCACCGAGGCGCCTCTGCTTGTGCCGCTGCTGCGGTGGGCAGTCTTCTGGCCGGCACACTCGAGAGCTGCCACAATGGGTTTCAAACAGGGAGGGCGTCGGTGGGGGGTGTGGCTGGATGACATGACGGGAATAAGCCTGATGGAGCCTGATGGATGCACGTGATGTCTGATGGAGGCTGATGGATGCACGCGGTTTCATGTGGTGCTCTTGCTGCGTGACATGCAGTGATGCATGCAAGGCCATGTGATGCAAGCAAGGCCATGTGATGCATGCGAAGCATAAGATGCATACAAATCACAAAGTAACGTGCATGTGTCCAATAAGGGAGCAGAGAGGGCACCTGGGCAGACATGTCGATGCCAATCTCATCCAGGATCTGCGGCACACCGTACACATGCAAGTAGTGAGGATGGACAGAGGAAGCACAGACGAATGAGAGGGGTGAGAGTGGTTTTTGAGGTGCATCAAAAAGGGCACCTGGGCAGACATGTCGATGCCAATCTCATCCAGGATCTGAAGCACACGTGTGTGCATGCGGAGAGGATGGGAGGACAGATGAAACAGAGACGAAGTGAGAGGATGGGAGGACAGATGAAACAGAGTCGAAGTGAGAGGATGGGAGGACAGATGAAACAGAGTCGAAGTGAGAGGATGGGAGGACAGATGAAACAGAGTCGAAGTGAGAGGATGGGAGGACAGATGAAATAGAGACGAAGTGAGAGGATGGGAGGACAGAGAAGATTCTAGTGAGAGTGAGTTCTAAGTCCACACTAAAGTATAGTCGATGCCAAGCCTATCCATGATCTGAAAGTCAACCCCAAGGTGACTGTTGAGTTGTCTCAAAAGGCACCTCGAACGGCGTTTGTCAACACATGCCAGTGGGTGAATAACATGCGCATGGGGGTTTGGTCCTCTACCCAACCAGATTAACATTATTCAGCTGCACAGATATTGTTGGGGAGCAGACATGCATGCTGACATCAGCGCACCTGGTTGGTGATGTCATCAGCCTCTTCCTCGGTGTCGCTTGTATCCAAAGCATCATCCAGGGCGCCTCCCACCATGTCTTGCTGCCACGTGCCATGTGCCATGTGCCATGTGGACAGGAGGGGAGGAGAGGAGGAGAGGAGAGGAGGAGATGAGGAGATGAGGGTAGGAGGAGAAGAGGAGAGGAGGGGAGGAGAGGAGAGGAAGATAGGAGAGGAAGAGAGGAGAAGAGGAGAAGAGGTGGAGAGGAGAGACGGACAGGGAGAAGACTACCAAGTCCACATCTAACCCAAACCTGGTCCAAGCCTAATCAGAACCTCGTCCAAGTCTGGCCCACTCATACACTCGCTGCTTGCAGACTTGCCAGTCCAAGCGGCATCCAGCAGTCGAGCTGCACTCTTAAAGCTGCGATCCTACAGCACTCCCCTGTGAGCCATGAGCTGCTGTGATGTGACATCCACCGCCGCTTCCACGAGACATTTCTGAGAATTCCCCGCAGACTTCCCAGTCCAACCCGCATGCAGCGTCTAAGGATGATAATTTAATTAAATAAACAAAAAAAGAGTGCAACGAACCCGAAGCAGAATCCGTGAGAGATTTTCGAGAATTCTCAACAGATGTACCTGCTGCTCCACATTCGGAATTTTCCAGCCCAGATTTTTGGTTGGTCTGCCTGCTGCTCCAAACGACATGTGCTGTGAGCAGCTGGCAGATAAACCAACCTGCCACGTGGCACCAACCAGCCGGCGACATGGCACGCAAGCCAACTGCCACGTGGCACGTCAACCAACCTGCCATGTGGCACCAACCTGCCACGTGGCACACCAACCAACCTGCCACGTGGCAAAGCAAGCCACCCACCACGTGATCCATCTTGGCGGATTCTCGTTGGAAATCTGCTGCCATGCGCGCTGCTGATGCCACGTCCATTTGCTGGGTAGAAGCACAGGGAAAGCATCAAGTGGGGAGGAAGAGGGGGGGGAGGAGAAGGGGGAAAGGATCAACGGGGGGGAGCAAGGGGGGAGGAGGAGCAAGGGGGAAGGAGCAAGGGGGTAGGAGGGGAGGAGCAGGAGGGGAGGGGCAGGAGGGGAGCAGGAGGGGAGGGGCAGGAGGGGAGGAGCAGGAGGGGAGAAGGAGGGGAGGGGCAGGAGGGGAGGAGCAGGAGGGGAGAAGAAGGAGGGGAGGATGACGGGGAGGGGCGTTGAGGAACGTGAGAGACCAATACAACACTGTGCCTTGATTAACGAACAAAAATATTCAGCGTAGTACCATTCACTATAGTCACTCTTCTCACCTTGTTCACATTCCCCATGACCGTGCCAGCACTGCGCATTGCCCCTGCCACTGACACGTTGGCTTGAGCCACCTGAGAGGGAGGGACGGAGGAACAAGAGACAGCGAGACGAAGAGACTCAGAGATATAGCCAACCAAACAGGAAAGCGAATTTACAAGAGATTATTCACACGAAACATAAAAAATGAAACATAAAACAAGAAGAAGAGAACTCATCAAGTCTTTCCCTCACCTGCGCATGTGTGCTGATGCCGCGAATCTGCGCCTTGGACTTGTGCATCTTGGCTATCTGCGCTCTCACCCGCACCAGCTCCCGTGCCAACACGCGTGCTGCTGCCTGGCGGGTGGAAAAGGCATGGGGACGGGTAGAAGCAGATGAGGAACAAGATTATGCACGTCTGCCTCTGTCTGTTCTCTCACCCACACCTGCTCCCTCGCCAGCACCCACGCTGCTTCCTGACAGGTGAAAGCGGGAGGCAGGTGCGTGTGGGAGGCATGTGCGTGTGGGAGGCAGGTGCGTGTGGGAGGCAGGTGCGTGTGGGAGGCAGGTGCGTGTGGGAGGCAGGTGCGTGTGGGAGGCAGGTGCGTGTGGGAGGCAGGTGCGTGTGGGAGGCAGGTGCGTGTGGGAGGCAGGTGCGTGTGGGAGGCAGGTGCGTGTGGGAGGCAGGTGCGTGTGGGAGGCATGTGCGTGTGGGAGGCAGGTGCGTGTGGGAGGCAGGTGCGTGTGGGAGGCAGGTGCGTGTGGGAGGCAGGTGCGTGTGGGAGGCAGGTGCGTGTGGGAGGCAGGTGCGTGTGGGAGGCAGGTGCGTGTGGGAGGCAGGTGCGTGTGGGAGGCAGGTGCGTGTGGGAGGCAGGTGCGTGTGGGAGGCAGGTGCGTGTGGGAGGCAGGTGCGTGTGGGAGGCAGGTGCGTGTGGGAGGCAGGTGCGTGTGGGAGGCAGGTGCGTGTGGGAGGCAGGTGCGTGTGGGAGGCAGGTGCGTGTGGGAGGCAGGTGCGTGTGGGAGGCAGGTGCGTGTGGGAGGCAGGTGCGTGTGGGAGGCAGGTGCGTGTGTGAGGCAGGTATGGGGAGACGAACGATAGCATCACAGCACAAGTCCAGCTTGGCTATCTGCGCCCTCACCCTCACCAGCTGCCGCACCAACACCCACAATGCTGACTGGCACGCAGGGAGATGCATGGTGGTCATGAGTTGAAGCACATAGGGAACAAGACCAGTCATATCCCTCTCGTCCTCTCGTTCTCCCTCTACCTGCGCTGTCACAGGTGTGTTTTGAGTCAACTCAAAATGCACAAGATTCCATGCCAGGGTGTGTGCATTCGAGAAATGGGATCCTGGGCTACTGCCTGGCATTCAGGAGATGGGCACATAAGAGCATGGGCACATGGGAGCATGGCAGTAGCCCGGGAAGTGAGGCCACGACAACACATGCCTCTCCTCCTTTCTCGCTTCCTCTGCGCTCTCACTCGAACCAACACGCATGATGCTGGCCGGCATTGGGAAATGTGTGTGGCAGAGTGAGATGCCATTGGGGGAAATGTCAAGAGGGGGATGCCATGGAGGAATTGCATGGGAGGCACCCTTGTGAGGCCAGCAGTTTTACTCCCACCTGGTTACCACTCCCACCTGGTTACCACTCCCACCTGGTTACCACTCCCACCTGGTTACCACTCCCACCTGGTTACCACTCCCACCTGGTTACCACTCCCACCTGGTTACCACTCCCACCTGGTTACCATTCCCACCTGGTTACCAGTCTTGGCAGTGTTCTTGATCTCCACTAGCAGCTTCTTCTCCTGCCACCCACATGCCGCCCACATGCCATCCACATGCCATCCACATGCCATCCACATGCCATCCACATGCCGCCCACACGCCAACCACATACCCACCCACAGATGCCATTTGACACCATCCACATGCCACGTGTGCCACCCACATGCCGCCCACATGCCGCCCACATGCCATGATATGCCCACAGAGATGTCATTTGATGCCATCCACATGCCACAGTTGAAGGAACAGCACGACACCAAGTTTAGCAAACGTGATGCATGGAAGTGACGGAACCGACATGTAGGAACAACACTGCCACCCGCTAATCGCACCTGCCACCCACTAATCCCACCTGCCACCCACTAATCCCACCTGCCACCCACTAATCCCACCTGCCACCCACTAATCGCACCTCTGCCTGCAGATTCGCCACCTCCCTTTCCAATCCTGCTTGTGGGGAGAGAGATGGGGGAGATGGGGAAGGGGGAGATGGGGGAGATGGAGGAATGGGGGAGATGGGGGAATGGGGGAGATGGGGGAATGGGGGAGATGGGGGAATGGGGGAGATGGGGGATGGGGGAGATGGGGGAATGGGGGAGATGGGGGAATGGGGGAGATGGGGGAATGGGGGAGATGGGGGAATGGGGGAGATGGCTTTAAGAACTGACGAGTCAGAGGCCAGGTAGCAGATGGGGGAGATGGCATGGCAGATGGGGGAGATGGCATGGCAGATGGGGGAGATGGCATGGCAGATGTGGGAGATGGCATGGCAGATGGGGGAGATGGCATGGCAGATGGGGGAGATGGCATGGCAGATGGGGGAGATGGCATGGCAGATGGGGGAGATGGCATGGCAGATGGGGGAGATGGCATGGCAGATGGGGGAGATGGCATGGCAGATGGGGGAGATGGCATGGCAGATGGGGGGGAGATGGCATGGCAGATGGGGGAGATGGCATGGCAGATGGGGGAGATGGCATGGCAGATGGGGGAGATGGCATGGCAGATGGGGGAGATGGCATGGCAGATGGGGGAGATGGCATGGCAGATGGGGGAGATGGCATGGCAGATGGGGGAGATGGCATGGCAGATGGGGGAGATGGCATGGCAGATGGGGGAGATGGCATGGCAGATGGGGGAGATGGCATGGCAGATGGGGGAGATGGCATGGCAGATGGGGGAGATGGCATGGCAGATGGGGGAGATGGCATGGCAGATGGGGGAGATGGCATGGCAGATGGGGGAGATGGCATGGCAGATGGGGGGGAGATGGCATGGCAGATGGGGGAGATGGCATGGCAGATGGGGGAGATGGCATGGCAGATGGGGGAGATGGCATGGCAGATGGGGGAGATGGCATGGCAGATGGGGGAGATGGCATGGCAGATGGGGGAGATGGCATGGCAGATGGGGGGGAGATGGCATGGCAGATGGGGGAGATGGCATGGCAGATGGGGGAGATGGCATGGCAGATGGGGGAGATGGCATGGCAGATGGGGGAGATGGCATGGCAGATGGGGGAGATGGCATGGCAGATGGGGGAGATGGCATGGCAGATGGGGGAGATGGCATGGCAGATGGGGGAGATGGCATGGCAGATGGGGGAGATGGCATGGCAGATGGGGGAGATGGCATGGCAGATGGGGGAGATGGCATGGCAGATGGGGGAGATGGCATGGCAGATGGGGGAGATGGCATGGCAGATGGGGGAGATGGCATGGCAGATGGGGGAGATGGCATGGCAGATGGGGGAGATGGCATGGCAGATGGGGGAGATGGCATGGCAGATGGGGGAGATGGCATGGCAGATGGGGGAGATGGCATGGCAGATGGGGGAGATGGCATGGCAGATGGGGGAGATGGCATGGCAGATGGGGGAGATGGCATGGCAGATGGGGGAGATGGCATGGCAGATGGGGGAGATGGCATGGCAGATGGGGGAGATGGCATGGCAGATGGGGGAGATGGCATGGCAGATGGGGGAGATGGCATGGCAGATGGGGGAGATGGCATGGCAGATGGGGGGAGATGGCATGGCAGATGGGGGAGATGGCATGGCAGATGGGGGAGATGGCATGGCAGATGGGGGAGATGGCATGGCAGATGGGGGAGATGGCATGGCAGATGGGGGAGATGGCATGGCAGATGGGGGAGATGGCATGGCAGATGGGGGAGATGGCATGGCAGATGGGGGAGATGGCATGGCAGATGGGGGAGATGGCATGGCAGATGGGGGAGATGGCATGGCAGATGGGGGAGATGGCATGGCAGATGGGGGAGATGGCATGGCAGATGGGGGGGAGATGGCATGGCAGATGGGGGAGATGGCATGGCAGATGGGGGAGATGGCATGGCAGATGGGGGGGAGATGGCATGGCAGATGGGGGAGATGGCATGGCAGATGGGGGAGATGGCATGGCAGATGGGGGGGAGATGGCATGGCAGATGGGGGAGATGGCATGGCAGATGGGGGAGATGGCATGGCAGATGGGGGAGATGGCATGGCAGATGGGGGAGATGGCATGGCAGATGGGGGAGATGGCATGGCAGATGGGGGAGATGGCATGGCAGATGGGGGAGATGGCATGGCAGATGGGGGAGATGGCATGGCAGATGGGGGGGAGATGGCATGGCAGATGGGGGAGATGGCATGGCAGATGGGGGAGATGGCATGGCAGATGGGGGAGATGGCATGACAGATGGGGATACACACACCTGTTCATCCCTTCCCTCCCTCCCCATTTACTTCCCTCTTTCCACATCCCCACTTTCCACCCCCTTTGATCCCTCCTCCCCCATCGATCCTCCTCTTCTCACTGCTCTCGCCCTCCCCTCCCCGCGACCAGTGCAATAACCAGCGCCCACCTGTAGCATATCCATTCGCAAAACCCTCGTCCCCTTTTCCTACCCCCATATCTTCCCCCCTTCCCCCCCTCCCCCCGTCGCACCTCTGGCGGCCTGCGCCACGTCTCTCTTGCCAACCCCCTTTCCGTATTTCCCCTTTTTCCCACTTTTCCCCCATTCCCCTCCAACCCCCCCTCCCCCCCCCCTTCTCCCCCGTCGCACCTCTGGCGGCCTGCGCCACGTCCCTCTTGCCTTGGCGCAGTGCCTCTGTGCGCGCGAGGCGGGGGAAAGGGGCGCGGAGGAGGCGGGTAAAGGAGGATAGCGGCGCGGAGGGGTGAGGGGGGACAAAAGAAGGGCGGAATGAGGGAAGTGGGGGGGAGCATGAGGCGGGGAAGGGGCAAAGTGAGGAGAGCACACGCAGCGAGAGGCGCTCTAATGGAACGGACGCGCGGGAGGGAGAAAGTGCGAACGCGCGCATCGCGCAACAGCGAGAGACGCGCCGAAGGAACGAAGCAACACGGTTACGCGGCGTACTAAGAGAAATCTCAACAGGCACGGCTACGCGGCTCGGCGACAGAGAGCGGCGCGAGCGACGCGCGAGCTGCCAAGGGAGTGTTGCCTTCGAGAAACCTTCATGGGCTCATCTCTCGCGCGTCGTACCTTGCGGTGTGGGCTTCTTCTGAAACATGGCGCGTGGTGCGTGCGAGCACGCGCGTTTGTGAGGATCTGCCGCGTGGAGTTTACGCGTGGTGTGCAGTGCGAGAAGGTTGTGCGGATAGTACGTGGAGCGCACGACACGCGGGAATGTTCCGTGTAGGGTGCGGTATGTGCCGATGAATGATGACATGCAAAGTACATACCGCGTGCAGAAACAGGGCCAGTAGGGGACTACAGAGTGGATTCGCGACCAACATTTTCACAGGCGGCCATTTGTATTCACTATTGCACGTAGCATGTTCGCCGTCATAGCTGAGTGCATTAACGTTTTTTTCTTATGAAGGAAATTGAATGAATACTGCACTTGCAACGAAGGCTTAATTTGCTAGGTGAGAACATCAAAAGTCGAAACTTGACACAGGCTAGGCACGCGTAGTTTAGAGATGACACGGGTTAGCCTCATGGTCGGTTTTAAATTGGTTAGGCGTGTCAGATGTGTGATTGAAGACAAAAAAATGTATATTTTGGTAGTGAAATTCACAGGAGTGCGTTTGTATGTGCTCGTTTGTTGGTGTAGATTTTGAGATTCAAGCAGATCTGCTGGGAGACACGCAGGATATTCGGTATTGGTGGTGTGAAACGGCCCCTGCCCAGCCCGCCTTGAGGACGGCCCAAGCGAATGAGGGGGCTGGTAACCGAAGCATCCCAAACTACCCTTCCGACACTTCCCAACGAATCAGGGATGGCGATGTGCCATGCTTGCACCATCCGCCTGTTCGCAGTGCGCCGCAAAACTTCCCAACAAGTTTGATGTTTGGTGGAGCACCCGCGGAAATCCGTTCTGGGCTGCCCCTAGCTGTTATCCGATTACCCGGCAAAAGATTGAGGGGATCAACGGTGCCTTGGACCCTCCGCTGTTTCAAGGGCAGAAACTTTTCGCCGTGGGCAAGCTCTCTGGGCTGGGCCCCAACAACCCACGAAACCCTCGTGGTTGGGTTTGGCCTCTTGACTCTGGTTTGGGCGAAGGCTGGTTTCCGCTCCCTCTCACTGGTTGGGTGAATGCTGGGTTGGGCCTTGACTCTGAATCCAGGGTTCCATCAGTTGAAGCCCTCATGCCCTCTGGCTATGGCGGATTCCTAGCATGCCATCGTCTTTGCTAAACATCCAAGTTGCCAGGTGGGACAGCTTTCTGAGCTTAGGTTGTTGGAATTCGTTGGGAGTGAATTCTGTGGTTCTTCCGTTGCTCAGCGTGTGTTTAACCATTAATCGCTCATGGAGGAGGAAGTCGGAGCTGTCAAGATAGTAGCTAGAACAAGGAGCCATAGCTAGGGTTTACCTAGCTAGGCAAGAGAGAAATGAGCAAAGGAGGGGTTTGACTAGCAACAGTTGGGATACAAATAGGAAACCCTAAGGGGCCGTACTCACTACAGAGTACCCCACTGCAGGCTAGACAAGCATTATAATCTGACACACCCCCATAGTCAAAGTGGGGTATAATAAGCACAGCAAGCGGTCATAGAGCAGTAGGTTCACAAATACAAGCAAAGCTAGAGGCAGTCACACAGGGCAAGTGAGGAGGAGGAGTGACTGTGAGAGGAGAAGAGATGGGAGGCGACTGCTGAAGCTGCAGACACACGGGCCACAGGAGCGGCTGGCTCAGTTGCTACCGGAGCAAGGGCCCCGGACTACAAGAGTAATAGGCTCAGACAGGAGCAACGGACCCACGGGCGACAGGCGCAGCAGGCTCTCTGGGCTACCAGCGGCAAGGGCCCCGGACTACAGGCGCTGCGGACGACAAGACTGCTACCTCCACTCAACCACCCCCAACTGTCCCACCCCCCTTTCACACACCCCCTGCTGAACCCCTAGCTCCACTCCCACGTCACCCCCCTTAAACCCTAAACCCTCGGCTCCCACACACCCACCCCCCTCAGCGGCAGCTGCAGCAGTGGGAGACGGAGGAGGAGGAGGAGGAGTAGGGGACTTCGCACACAACGGCCACCCCAGCGATAACCGCCACCCCCACACTCGCCACCCCCAAACCCTAAAACGGGTGGCATGGGGTAGGAGCGCGGGGGACGGCTCGAGGGACGGCGCGCGGCCCCCAGGGCGCCACCACGGGGCAGCGGGGGGTCGCGCGCGGCTCCCCAGGGCGGCGCGACGGGGCAGCGAGGGGCCGCGCGCGGCTCCCCAGGGCGCTGCGACGGGCAGCGGGGGGCCGCGCGCGGCTCCCCAGGGCGTCGCGACGAACGGTGGGGGTCGTGCGTGGCTCCCCAGGGCGTCGCGACGGGCAGAGGGGGTCGCGCGCGGCTCCCCAGGGCGTCGCGGCGGGCGGCAGGGGCCGTGCTGGGCGACGAGCAGGGCAGCGCGCGGGTCCCCGGGGTGACGCACGAGGCAGGAACCCGCCGCGCGCCTCGGGGCACACGGCGGGCAGAAAACCGCCGCGCGCCACGAGCGCGCGGCGGGAAAAAAAAGTGTCGCGCGCCCTGGGCGCGCGACTAGCAGAACAGTAGCAGCGGAAGCAGTAGTAGGGCCCACAGGCCAGGAGCGTAAATGCTATGAGACCATGTCAAGATAGTAGCTAGAATAAGGAGCCATAGCTAGAGTTTACCTAGCTAGGCAAGAGTGAAATGAGCAAAGGAGGGGTTTGACTAGCAACAGTTGGGATACAAATAGGAAACCCTAAGGGGCCGTACTCACTACAGAGTACCCCACTGCAGGCTAGACAAGCATTATAATCTGACAGGAGCTGCATCCGAGGACTTGCCACCCGATGGCATACCAGCCGACGTGAACGACGATGACGATGATGACGAAAAGATTGTTGAAAGGGATCTCACTGGAAGATATGGCCGCGTAAGTGCTTGAACTTCTGTACGTTATAGCTAGTCGTGTTTGCTTGGGTCTGACCTTAAGTCTTTCGTGTGGTTTCACTGCAGTATGAAACAGTGCTTGGAAAGGGAGCCGTCAAGACCGTGTAAGTGCCAAAGCTCTCCGTTTTAACTATTAACTGCGAGCACGCCCTTTATTGCCGTTAATATCCCTTTTCCTGCCTACTCGCCTTCTAACGTTTAGTTAACTTCGATGTGTGCAGCTATAAGGCGTTTGATGAAGTTGATGGGATTGAGGTGGCGTGGAATCAGGTGAAAGTGCAAAAGGTGTTTCAGTGCCAAGAGGACCTAGAGCGGCTGTTCTCAGAAGTGCGACTTCTGAAGACCCTTAAGCACAAGAACATCATTAAGTTCTACAATTCATGGATGGACATCAAGTCCAAGAACGTCAACTTCATCACTGAAATCTTTACGTTGGGCACGCTGAGGCAGTAAGTCGACTGCCTTTTCATTGTTGTTCAGTTTCGAGTTATATTTCGTTGTTATTAACCTCCTTTTCTTCCCACTCTTTCAGGTATCGGAAGAAGCACAAGCACTGTGACATGAAGGCCGTGAAGAACTGGTCTCGCCAAATTCTCCGAGGCCTTCTGTATCTGCATAGCCATGACCCTCCCATCATTCACAGAGACTTGAAGTGTGACAACATTTTTGTCAACAGCAACCAAGGAGAGGTTAAAATTGGCGATTTGGGTCTTGCTGCCATCTTGAAGCACAAGAACGCCGCTCACAGCGTCATCGGTAAGCGTCCGCATATTCTTTTGGCGTATCGTTAGTAAGCGTTTATTTGATGTTTCATCTATGGCAGCAATCTCTAATGAGGACTTGTTTTAATGCAGGTACTCCCGAGTTAATGGCTCCAGAGCTGTACGAAGAGGAACACAACGAGCTCGTCGACATTTATGCCTTCGGCATGTGCGTGCTCGAAATGGTTACCCTGGAGTATCCTTACAGCGAGTGCAAGAACGCTGCGCAGATTTACAAGAAAGTTGTTTCGGTAAGCGTTACGGGCCTGCGGTGCATCGTTTTTTAAATCCGCGAAATAACCTTTTAAGTTCACTTCTTTATTCTCAGGGTAAGAAGCCTGCAGCGCTGGACAATGTTAAAGCTTTCGTATACATTTGAAAGTGGGAGTTTGGAAGGTAAGGCACGAAGTGATGGCATCATTGATTATTTGAACATGGGAACCTCCCTGGAACAGAGAGAGGCCGACGTGCCTGTAACCCTTCCCTAGGATCATCGGGGATCCCCAGTGGACCTCTGACACCCCCCCGCACTGGGATGCCCGAAGTGCACACACCGGGAATCGAACCCGAGACCTTCGCTCTGATACCATGTCAGAATCCCAGTCACTAACCACTGGGATAAAAGGGCTTGTTTGTGTAGCGGGTGAGTGCGCCCATAACCCCCCAGGCCGACATGCCTGTAACCCTTCCCTAGGATCATCGGGGATCCCCAGTGGACCTCTGACACCCCCCCGCACTGGGATGCCCGAGGTGCACACACCGGGATTCGAACCCGAGACCTTCGCTCTGATACCATGTCAGAATCCCAGTCACTAACCACTGGGATAAAAGGGCTTGTTTATATAGCGGGTGAGTGCGCCCATAACCCCCCAGGCCGACGTGCCTGTAACCCTTCCCTAGGATCATCGGGGATCCCCAGTGGACCTCTGACAGTTTGGAAGGTAAGGCACGAAGTGATGGCATCATTGATTATTTGAACATGGGAACCTCCCTGGAACAGAGAGATGATGATAAGGACAGGAGGGCAGTGGGGGAATGAAGGGAAGGGAGGGAAGGGCAGTTGGGGAACGCTAGGAAGGGAGGGAAGGGCAGTGGGGGAACGATGGGAAGGGAGGGAAGGGCAGTGGGGGAACGATGGGAAGGGAGGGAAGGGCAGCGGGGGAACGATGGGAAGGGAGGGAAGGGCAGGGGGGAACGATGGGAAGGGAGGGAAGGGCAGTGGGGGAACGAAGGGAAGGGAGGGAAGGGCAGTGGGGGAACGAAGGGAAGGGAGGGAAGGGCAGTGGGGGGACGAAGGGAAGGGAGGTAAGGGCAGTGGGGGAACGAAGGGAAGGGAGGGAAGGGCAGTGGGGGAACGAAGGGAAGGGAGGGAAGGGCAGTGGGGGGACGAAGGGAAGGGAGGGAAGGGCAGTGGGGGAACGAAGGGAAGGGAGGGAAGGGCAGTGGGGGGACGAAGGGAAGGGAGGGAAGGGCAGTGGGGGAACGAAGGGAAGGGAGGGAAGGGCAGTGGGGGGACGAAGGGAAGGGAGGGAAGGGCAGTGGGGGAACGAAGGGAAGGGAGGGAAGAGCAGTGGGGGAACGAAGGGAAGGGAGGGAAGGGCAGTGGGGGGACGAAGGGAAGGGAGGGAAGGGCAGTGGGGGGACGAAGGGAAGGGAGGGAAGGGCAGTGGGTGGACGAAGGGAAGGGAGGGAAGGGCAGGGAGGGAAAGGCACGGCAGGTTTCGGAAATGGGCGGACAAGGCGAGAGGGATAGGGTTGGTCGGTCGAGATGGCGGGTGAGGCGCGCAGCTGACGGCGGAAATGAGTGAGAGCAGCGGGGGAAAGGAGAAGGAGAAAGTGGAGAAATGAGAGGGATAAGGGGGGGAATGAGGAGGAGAAGGGGGGAAATGAGAGGGAGAAGGGGGGGAAACGAGAGGGAGAAATGGGGACAGCGAGAGGGAGAAGGGGGAGAAATGAGAGGGATAAGAGGGGGGAATGAGAGGGAGTAGGAGGGGGAATGAGAGGGAGAAGGGGGGGGGATGAGAGGGAGAAAGGGGGGAAACGAGAGAGAGAGAAGGGGGGGAAGTGAGAGGGAGAAGGGGGGGGATGAGAGGGAAAAGGGGGGAAAATGAGAGGGAGAAAGGGGTTAAAACGAGAGGGAGAAAGGATGGAAATGAGAGGGAGAAGGGGGAGAAATGAGAGGGAGAACGGGGAGATGAGATGGAGTAGGGGGGAGGAAATGAGAGGGAGAAGGGGGGGAAATGAGTCACTAAGCTGGTTACGCGCTACACTTGACCGGCAAGCAGCGGGTGAGGCGAGGAGCGGATGAGTCGCTAAGCGGGTGAGGCGAGCGGCGGGTGAGTCGCTAAGCGGTTGATGCGCGCAGCGTGGTAAGCGAGAATCAGGTGATGCGCTAAGCGGGTGTCGCGAGATGCAGGTTAGGCGAGAATCCCGCCGACGCCAACGCATGGAAGGCGGCGAGCCCGACGAAGGCTATTCGATTGTCTAACGTGAGGCTTTGAATGCGGCGAGGCTACTCGTCGAACGGCCTACTCAATAACCGTGGCGAGCCAGCCGTATGCAACCCGAGTGGGTGAGGCGCGCGAGGGATATCCGAGAGGGTGACGCGCCAAGCGGGTGTCGCGTGCTGCGGGTGATGCGAGAATCTCATTGGCGAGGCGTGCTCGAAAAATTCCGTCGCGGCGGCCCGTCCGATTGCAAACGGCGCTGCAGCTAGAGGGACTTGGTGGGCTCGATAGATGCAAGCAGTCGTGGCTGAAACCTATATTGAACGTGTTCCCTAAACGCCAGCGTTTATTTAGGTGCTTGCGCTGGTCCGCTCGCCGCCTCGTCGACTCCCATGCAGTTCTCTCTAGGCCTTTCTCAGTAAGTAGTCGCTTATTCGTCAGTCTGTGTGTGTGTGCGTTGTTGGTGACGAGAGAGTTCCTCGTGTTCGCAACCCTAAATGCAGGTTGGCTTCAAATTTCCGCCAGGCCCCTCGCCAAGCTCATTCGTTTTCGTTGTGGCGAAATCTTCTTGGCTACTGTTCAAACCCCAACAGTACTTTCAAATGTATACGAAAGCTTTAAAGCGACGGGCAACTTTTGGCAGTGTTGGGTTCAGAAGTTTTTTTTTTGAACCAGGCAAACCAGCGCGAAAGTGTTGGCTGGCGAAAACCAGGATTTCGTGCAGACACTTTTCATCTGCAGTAACAGTTCGCCAGGGTTCTGGGTTTTGGGTGGCAAATGTGTACCGTCGCTTTAAGGATCCAGAAGTGCGAGCATTTGTGGAGAAGTGCCTGGCGACTGCGTCACGCCGCCTGCCAGCGCGGGAGTTGTTGATGGATCCTTTCCTCAACGATGGTGATCGTGGTGGTCTCGGAAATCTTGACATGTCGCATCTCTCTCGCTCCATGTCCAAAGGAAGCGACCTATCAAGCGTGGGAAGCCGAGGTCCAGAGTCGTATAGGTCAAAGTCAAGTCCCGAGAAGCCTGTGTTGCAGACGGAGACGCATTCTACACAGTCTGGCAATGTCGAAAATGATGTTTCTGAGTGTTGCGATCAGGGGGCTGTTCGCCAGCACCATTATATCTAAAAAACGACGGGATAACGACGGGATCAGGAAGGTGGGTCTCGCCTTCCTGATCCCGTCAGTTAGAGTTCGTTAACCTCCGTCAGCATGGTCAGCCCGTGAAAATTGTGCCGAGCCTCACCCACCGTCCAAACCAATTAACAAACTGGGCGTCTGGCGAACGCTCACTTTTGTACACCAATTTCAACGTTTCGACGGCATATGGAAGCGGGGACGAAACTTCCTCCCCAGGCAAAACACCATCCCCTTGCAATGCCATCGTCATGCGGCGTTTTTAGAAGCACAGCGGTGGCACAGCGGACGCATCGCTGTTCAGGGGAACCCGGGAACAAGCCTTCAGTTTAATAAAGGGGGGTTCGTATACCCCCCATTTTTCCCTCCCAAACACACCTTCAAAATGCCCCCCGCACATAGCTTCTTTTATTTGCGTTTTTTACCCACGTTGAGCAATTTTTTATCAGCGGGCAGCACAAGGGTCAGTGAAGAGCAAATTTCGCGCCATTGGGGGGAAGGTGGGGATGGACCTTCCCGATGCGGATGCGAAATTTCATCTTTCGAGTGCGCGTAGTTTCTCGGACGGCATTTCGCCCAAACCAGGAAGGAGGGTTCCGCCCCCGTTTCCATATGCGGTCGCGATGCTGATGCCATCGTTTTTTGTTGAAGAAACGATTTGCTGGCGAACAGCACCCAGAAGTTGATCGTGGCCTAGGATCTACTCAGGAAGGTTCGCACGCAGGAAAGTAAAGTTGGTGGGCCCTTGACCTCAATAGCAGAGTGAATGTAAAATGCTTTGAGATGATTAAAACATGCAAATACAGGAAATATAAATATGAGTACAGGGAAGACGAAACGACCTAGCTAGCCATGTACTCTAAGGGGTACATTCCCTTATTCAAATTCATTCCCAACCGTGCGGCGCGTACAGTTTCGTAACTGTTCCCGCCAAAACCATCCTGCCAGTAGCTGCCCGATGCCATCTGCTCCGACGGTCCAGATGTGTTGTAACCGTCCGACGCTTCAATTCAACTCCAACCGTCTGACGCTTCGCGTTCATTCCCGATACTGCGTGCTTCTCTTTGCTGCGGTAAGGAGTGCACAGTGATATCAAATATCATTGTTTGTAACACTGAGCAGCAGCTGAAGAGTACAAGCAAATCCAGCGACAGTGATCTTGACGGTTTGCATGAGGCAGAGCGGCTTCGCTGCAGCCGAGATTTCAAAGTGAAGGGGAATCTGGTTGATGATGATGACCACACAGTGTTCCTCCGTTTGAGAATTGTCGACTCAGAAGGTAAGTCTATTCGCGTACAGATTTGTATGTTTTTTACCTCCACATGATTCTGGCTTTTAATAATTTTACCCGTTTGCTCGACATTCAGGGTTGGTGCGCAACATTCACTTTCCCTTCAACATGGAGGAAGACACGGCGTTCAGTGTCGCGAGCGAGATGGTTGAAGAGCTTGCCCTCTCCGACCAAGATGTGACCAGCATCGCAGAGATGATAGACGCCAATATGGGGTACAACCCCAACTAGGGTTTCATATTTGTACCCAAACTTCTGCTAGTTCATTCATTCTTGCCTAGTTATTCTGAGATGGTATTCAGAGCAGGAGGTCCCTAGGACCTACCGACCGTTTTTTTTTAAGGGCCCACCACCGCTCGCATGCGGTTACCACGCTACCCCGTGCCCTAGCCTCGTAGCGCCCTCGTGCGCCCTCGTTAGCGCCCTCGCGCGCCCCTCGTTAGCGCCCTCGCGCGCCCCTCGTTAGCGCCCTCGCGCACCCTCGTTAGCGCCCTCGCGCGCCCCTCGTTAGCGCCCTCGCGCGCCCCTTGCTAGCGCCCTCGCGCGCCCCTCGCTAGCGCCCTCGCGCGCCCCTCGCAGCGTCGCCCGCCCGCCGAGCCGCCCGCTCGCAGCGTCGCCCGCCCGCCACGCTGCCCGCTCGCCCCTCGCCCGCCGCGCTGCCTGCTCGCAGCGTCGCCCGCTCGCCCCGCTGCCCGCTTCGCAGCCCGCTCGCCCCGCTGCCCGCTTCGCAGCCCGCCCGCCCGCTCGCTGCCCGCTTCGCGGCCCGCCCGCTTCGCTGCCCGCTCGCAGCGCCGCCCGCCCGCCCGCTACCTGCTTCGCAGCGTCGCCCGCCCGCTTGCTGCCCGCTCGCAGCGTCGCCCGCCCGCCCGCTGCCCGCTTCGCAGCGTCGCCCGCTCGCTCGCTGCCCGCTCGCAGCGTCGCCCGCCCGCCCGCTGCCCGCTCGCAGCGTCGCCCTCCCGCCTCGCTGCCCGCTTGCAGCGTCGCCCGCCCGCCCGCTGCCCGCTTGCAGCGTCGCCCGCCCGCCCGCTGCCCGCTTCGCAGCCGCCCGCCGCGCTGCCCGCTCGCCGCGTCGCCCGCCCGCCCCGCTGCCCGCTTCGCAGCCCGCCCGCCGCACTTCCCGCCTGCAGCGCCGCCCGCCTCGCCTGCTGCTTCCTGCCTGTGCACCGCCGCTTGCTCCTGCTGTGGCTGCTAGCTTCGCTCTAGCGCGTCCCCTCTGCTGCTGCCGCTGCTCTGCTGTGCCCTCACGCCTGAGCTATGGCCTCTATTCGCGTTCTTTCCTTCGATGCTGAGGGCCGTCCCGTGCAGTTCACTTCCTGGCTCGACGACCTGCAGTTGTATCTTATGAGCAATAGCACGGACCACATCTCCCTCTATGACTACGCGTCTGGTGCTGCCGCTGCTCCTGCTGCCACAGCCGAGCTTAGTGTACGTTCACAGTGGCAGACTCGTGACGCTGCAGCTCGCCTGGCTATTCGCAGTCACCTGCCGTTAGCTGAGCTAGAGCACTTTGGCGACTGCAAAACCGCTAAAGCCCTATACGACGCTGTCGTTGCTCGCTACTCCTCACCTGCCACAGCCGAGCTTAGCCGTCTCATGCTGCCTTACCTGTTCCCTGACCTGTCCACCTTTGCTACAGTCGCCGATCTTATCACCCACCTTCGCACTAGTGACGCTCGCCTGCGTGCCGCCCTTCCCACCGAGTTCTGCGCTAAGAACCCCCCTCCACTGTACTGGACACTCCACTTCATAGTCACCCGTCTCCCTGACACCCTCAGCTCAGTGCGCGACTATTTCCTTGCTCGCTGTCCCACTGAGCTCACTGTCGCCCTCCTAGAGGAGAAGCTGCTAGCAGCCGAGAAGAGCATTGTAGCTGTTGGTGCTGCTCGCGGCGCTCCTCGCACCCCCATCTTTGAGGGGTGCTCTCCCTCTCCCCTCGCTCCCTCCTATGCTACTGCTGCTGCTGTTGACTTCCTTGGTGCTGAGTCTGCTGGCGCTGCTTCTACTCCTGGTGGGAGGCGCCGCACCGGCAAGGGCAAGGGGGGCAAGGGTGGCGGGGGTGGCGCTGGGGGGGGAGGGGGTGGGGCTGCTTCTTTCGAGACAGTACTGAGCTCACACCGCTTCCTGCACCGGTCCCAGTCTCCTTGGCTGACCCCTCTGGGGGCCCAGTCCTTGCCCAGTCCACCACTGTGCTCCCTTGTCCGGCGGTTCCGTCTGGCTCGTTGACGGGTTTCCACCTCCCCTCGTTCTCGACGAACCTGGTGAGCAACGCTGTCATCCAGGATCAGTGGGTTGACACCTTTACCCCTGGAGGACAGCGTGTGGCGATCTGCACGTGCTCCAGGACCGGCCGTCACCTGGCTACGTTTACTCGTCGGCCGGGGTCGAGTCTCTACACACTGACCACTGCGTCTCCTCAGGTCGCTGCTGTCGGTCAGGTGTCCGCGTCAGGTCTGGTGGCCCACGCCTGTGAGTGTCGTTCCCTGTCGCACCAGACTCTTCTCTGGCACCACCGCCTGGGTCACCCCTCCTTGCCACGCCTCCGTGGCATGCACCGTCGCCGCCTTGTGTCTGGTC